TAAAACTCGACCTCAAAACCTACTGCTACTGCTGTGCATCCCCCTGGAGCTATTATAGAGATACTTGCCCAGCGTGTCCATCCGTCGCTCTCCTTCAAGTACACAACCAAAACAAGCAGGTTGCGCTTCATGTAATAGAAAATTCGGGAGCGCATCTCGCGGGCGAGGCGCGTGAGCATGACAACGATGTGGTGAACACAGACGCAGAATTTTGGTCCGCCGGGTTCTGGAAAACAGGCTAATCGGCATCTCTCTCTCTGTGTCGCTCTTGCCGTCTCTTGCTCTCTCTGTCATTAGCCTCTCTCTCTCTCTCTCTCTCTCTCTCTCTCTCTCTCTCTCTCTCTCTCTCTCTCTCTCTCTCTCTCTCTTTGTGTGTGTGTGTGTCAAAGGGCAACACACGAGCTAAGCTCATATAGCTCTACTCTACCGACAAACAACAACAAACAACGACGCACCTGATGGACCACTACCCGCCCCGCCCTGAGGCCCCAGGTTCGCCCGCCGCATCACCACCCCTCCCTCTCCCCCTCCGCCGCCGTCCTTCCCGTCGTCATTCAAGTCCTTCCGCCAGGAGTGGTTGTGGTATCCCCCCAACCCAGCCGCCGCCGCGGCGGCACCACCGGCAGCAGCAGCGGCGGCACCAGACGACCCCGGCTCCCCCTTCGCCCCAACGGAAGACCCCGCGTAGTACGAAGCGGCGTCGTCGTCGTTGATTCCGCCAACAGAAACATCTCCGCTGGCGGCGGCGGACCGCTGCTGCGGCCCAGAGGAGGACGGGCCGGAGACCCTTGATATTCTGCTCCCGGCGTCCCATTGAGAAGCCGCGTCGTCGTCGTTGACCCCGCCGCCGCCGTTGCCGCCGTTGCCGCCGCCGGTCCCCGTCGCCGCCGACGACGCCGACGGTCGCCCGCCGGTGTACTGGGACGCGGCATCATCGTCTCCGACGACGCTTTCGAGACCCGCCGCCCCCTTCCAGCTGCCGCCGATCCCGACGATCGACTCCGGCGGGCTCATGCTCGCCCGCCCCCCGCCGTAACCTCCCACCACCCCGGCCCCCGCCATCGACCCCG